ATATATATATATATATATGTGTGTGTGTGTGTGTGTGTGTTTTTTGTTGTGCAATTTTTTGTTCATATATATATATATTTTTTGTGTAAACCATTATATACTACCTTTCAATGCAAATTAATACTTTTATTCAGCAAGGATTCATTTAACTGGTCAAGTGACAGTAAAGACAACATTTTAGATGTCCAATTTCAAAGATTTCCATTTCAAATAAATGCTGTTCTTTTGAACTTTCTATAATCCCGAAAATCCCGAAAAATAAAATGCATCAGTTTCCACAAAAATATTGTGCAGCACGACTGTTTTCAATAATCAGAAATCACAGAAATACATTACAGTTTAACAGATATTCACACAGAAAACAGCTAGTTTACATTAGAATAACATTTCACTATTTTTAAGTATTTCTGATCAAATAAATGCAGCCTCGGTGAGCAGAAGAGACTTCATTCAGAAACATTAAACACTGTATTTATTCCAGTCTTTAAGCGCTAGTGTAAACGTCTCTCTCTGACCTCAGTCTGCTCATCTGCAGCAGCGTGTGGATCAGCTCCTCCGTCAGCTCCACGTTATACAGCACCAGAGACGCCAGTCGCTCGCTCCACTGTGTGAGGAAGGCCGGTCGAGGCAGATGGACGGACGACAGGTCCAGCGAGGTCAGAGCGGGCAGCGGCGCCAGCAGCGTCTCCACGTCCAGCTCCGCCCGAAGGCCTCCCAGGTTCAGCAGACGCAGACGGTTGAAGCCCTGGAAGCTGAAGTCCAGGTCCACCGTGTGCCGCTGCAGATCCTCCTCGTCCTCCTCGTCGTACGCCAGCGGAGCGCCGCTCTTCCTGAAGAAGATGCTGGAGCAGCCGAAGACACTGAGCGACCGCAGCGAGTGTTTGAAGCTGCAGAGCGTCCGCAGGCTGCGCGCCGTCAGACGGTTACAGCAGGTCAGATGAAGCTCCATCAGATCCTGCAAACATCACACAGAGACCTCTCATGATGAATCAGTGCAGGACAGAAAAGCTAATAACGACTAAATGAGTTTGAGAACTTCTGTTATAGGGGTCAACAAAATAAATTCCCTTGGTCTTTTGATCTCTCTCACTGCATTAATAACTGCATCACCACCTCGGATCATTATTTTCTAATAATTCAACAGCCCCTCATCAATTATTCCTTACTAAAATTAAACCATTCTAATCCTGAGAGTACTCCCATTTTTTACAAAATGTAACTAATCTGATTACTTTGTTTTTTGACGTAACTGTAACAAATTAGTTACCATTTTTTTGTATCCTGATTAAGTAACGCTGTTACATGTATTCCGTTATTCCCCAACCCTGATCACTACATACTTCTGTTTATTAATGTGTGTTGCTATAATGAAGGAAAATTACTCAAAATGATTTTTTTTATGATTTAGTGAAAAACTGTGGACACGTGACTTGATTATTCGGAACTAGAACTTTACTGTATTTTATGTCTTTATTTGAATTGACTTGACAACACAGGCTTGTTTGGTTGGAAAATCACTATTTTAGCCATTTCAGAGTAAATGTATATGTGTGACCCTGGAGCACAAAACCAGTCATAAGGGTCAGTTTTGTGAAATTGAGTTTTATGCATCATCTGAAAGCTGAATAAAAATTTTTCCATTGATGTATGGTTTGTTAGGATAGGACAATATTTGAAAATCTGGAATCTGAGCATGCAAAAAAATATAAATATTGAGAAAATCATCTTTAAAGTAGTTCAAATGAAGTTCTTAGCAATGCATATTACTAATCAAAAATTAAGTTTTGATATATTTACGGTAGGAAATTGACAAAATATCTTCACGGAACATGATCTTTACTTAATAAAGAAAAATGGATCATTTTGACCCATACAATGTATTGTTGGCTATTGCTACAAATATACCCCAGCGACTTAACACTGCTTTTGTGCTGCAGGCTCACATATTATATTATTCTGAATTAAAACATTTCAGTTCAATATTAGCACACAATCCCACACAAGACTGCAGGATGAGCTGAAAGTGAAAGTATGTCGGTCATGTGATCATCAGACGTCTGTTTTACAATCATAAAGAAAGAATAAACACAGAAAGAGAAAGTATTTCGACTCACTCGGCGTGACGCACATAAGAAATGCATTTAAAGTCGTCGTGAACTTGATTTTTTACCCTGTCTACTGTCTAAACGCATGTTATAAATCTTATTTTGAACACTTCATCTGTGCATATGCTTCATATTTAATCAAAAGGTCATCACTGGACAGATATTTTGATCATGCTCATCTGCATACACTTTTGAGAGCTTTCTCTGTGAGAGAGAGCTATTCTTTTTGGATAATCTGTCATGCTCTGATGTATGTCACAAAGCAGAAGAAAAGATCTGACGCTGCTTTGGCTTCACTGGTGATGTTCTCACCTGTTTCCCGATGGCCTCCAGGTCTCGGTCTCGCACCAGATCCTCCCTCAGCTGCAGGCGGGTCAGTCTGGTGCTGCGCGGGTCACTGAAGAGCTGGAAGAAGCCGTCCTGCGGCTCGAAGTCGCTGTCAGTGTGCAGCAGATCCATGTACCTGCGGATCAGAGGCATCAGGTCACACATCAGCACAGGACACGCTGAAGCTCCTCCAGGCTCCTCTACCTACTCGTTCACCAGCCGGTCGCAGATCTCGCCGGGCAGGAAGACGTCGGGCCGCAGCTGGAGCCGGTTCTGCTCTCCGCTGAAGCACATGGTGCCGATGGCCTCCAGGTCTCGGTCTCGCACCAGATCCTCCCTCAGCTGCAGGCGGGTCAGTCTGGTGCTGCGCGGGTCACTGAAGAGCTGGAAGAAGCCGTCCTGCGGCTCGAAGTCGCTGTCAGTGTGCAGCAGATCCATGTACCTGCGGATCAGAGGCATCAGGTCACACATCAGCACAGGACACGCTGAAGCTCCTCCAGGCTCCTCTACCTACTCGTTCACCAGCCGGTCGCAGATCTCGCCGGGCAGGAAGACGTCGGGCCGCAGCTGGAGCCGTTTCTGCTCTCCGCTGAAGCACATGGTCCTCCGCAGGTTCTTCAGGCAGAAGACGGAACACAGAGACATCAGGCTGTCCGGGTCGTCTCCCGCTTTACTCGCCATGATGACCTCGGGTCGCTCAGAACAGAAGAACAAGAGCACGACACACTCCCGAGACTCAGGAGACACACATGGAGAAGATGCTGCACCTGAGAGAGGAACACCCACACAGCATCATCAGCTCTCATGAGATACACACACACACAC